AGGGGTCTTTCAGTACCACCCGCACTGCGGTCACTGCTGCCCTAGTCATGCCCGGGCAGCAACTGTTTATCATGCTACCCACGCAGCATCAGGGGACTCATTGTTTTATACTTCTGATTATATTATTTTGATTATAATTCAAATTGGTTGGCATGTAGGTGGGTGGCAGCAGTGTAGCACTGGTTCAAGCTCTGGCTGTTATCCCATGATGAGTAGCATTGGCAAGTCGAGACCCTGTCTTGTGAAGAATGGACACAAGTGCCATCCAGTGTTCTTCCAGAGAGACTCATCTCTCTGAATTCTTGGCAAAGAATGTGGTTCAGTGGGTCTGCATTGATGATTGACTTGAAGTTGGTGGATTGTGCCTGGAACGCTATACCAGTGTCGCCCGCTGCCACGTGTTGGCTGAGGCAAGTTTAGTATTACCTGAAGCTCTTCCATTTGTATCTTTGTCATCACATCAGTGTGAAATATCAGTCTGCGTTCATTAAGTATAATATAAGCTTTATATAACGGAATCATGTTCATAGGCATTGGCCAAGTATTGGCTCAAAGTACATTTTGTAATTGACACTGCTCAAAATCTTTTGTTTGCATTGGCTGTTGCCTTTGTCTGGAAAAAGGAATTACCATTACTTAAAGGGTTTTGTATGATTTTATTGTAGGATCATTGTCAACTTGTCTAAAATAAATTTCTTTTTAATGGTTGGCCAATTGATTGCTATCCTAAATTTCAGGCACATGAAACTTTGAATTATGATTAATACCTGCTCTTAATCCACTGATCCCATCAGCTTTGGTTATGAGTAATTATTTAGGCAGAAATGTTGGAAGTAACTGCCAAAGATATTTATTAAATTGAAACTTCACTTTATTGGTATCTACATGCAAAGTCACTGGCGGTCACTTTTAATTGGTGGTGTAATGAATTGTAATACAAATGTTGGTAAAATATGAAATGTGCAAACCTTCATTGTGCCTTTTGCCTCTCATACATATAACTTCATGGATTTTTTTTCTGAACTTCCATTAGGCTTGCAAACACTGAGCACTAAACCATTTCAGTGTTTCATTATCAAGGAGCACAAATAAGATGAAACACTATGGAAGTAAACTTTTATTGGAGCTGTACATAATACATGAAAGGATAAAGAGCAGTTTTTCATTAGTTATCCTCTGAAAGTGAAAGCTACATCTTTTGATATATTGCATATTACCCTGAGTAAGCAGCTTATTAAAGAAAAGGATACTGCAGAAACTATGGTGTCATAATAGGAAGGTAAGCTTGACTGGGTTAGTTTCAGAAGAGCTAGAGTTGAGAAAAGATAATTCATTTCTTCTATAATTTAAAATCGAGGTGCACAGAAATTGCTGCCTGGTAGGTATGACTGGTTTAGGCTTGCTTCTTTTGATTTGTTGGTTACATCTTCAGTGGAAAGGCTGCTAAAGGTTGGGAGTTGCCATGGCTTAAAGGGTTAACTTGAATAATAAAGATTATTAGTTTAGGGAAAGAACAAACTAGGCTTTTGTCCAAAGAAACTGGAGGGATTATATTTCATAACCTTGTACAGGCTGTTGGAACATTTTAGATTGCACAGTGTGGAATATTACCACTAGTTCCATGTAAGATCCACATATTGCTAATAATCATTACACAAGTAGCTTGCTGACACTCCAGAACAACTGTCCTTTACCTAATACACTTTTCAAGGAAACCTTCACTTTTTTGTAATGACTGGAACCCCACAGTAACTTGCCAAGTGTGTTGTTTCCTAGTATAAATCGCAGCAGAGGTAGATTATCATTTCCTAATAACCCAGGCTTGGCACATACTACTGTACTATACAGGCTCATCATGATCAATGATGTCTGTTTATGCCAAAAATGTGTACATATGCACATGATAAAATATTTTGAACATTCCATCTTGCTCTCCACTCGCCTATGCCTACCATTCATAACAGTTTTAAGAACATAGTGAAATGTAAAAATGGTCAGGAAAATGTCTTTTAAACTAGAAATTAAAGAAGTGGCATTTTTGATCAAATCAATATGCTGCAAGTCAATGAATATTTAAAAGCTTTTGATATTAAACATTAAAAATGTTGATGCAGACTATCTATCTGACTGCTCTTCATGTGTGTGTAGGGGGTGTCCAAGGTATTCACTGCAAATGACACAATTATTCAAAACTAGATTCAGCTTTGTGTGAAAAAAAAAATTGGGTAGGATTTCAGCAAGTACTTTGACTTGTAAACAAAGGGGTGGGAGTTAGTTAATGATGAAATCAAAAATAATTCCATCTGAAGATCATCCTTTGTTACATCTTGTGCCCTTTTTGACATGCATGCGAGTGACATATCGTGACCATTTAATAAATAGAAATAAAATTTAAGAATCTACCAACTTCTGAACGATGTATACTTTTATAAATGCTAGAAATGCTAAAACTTCTCTGAAATAAGTAAATAAATGAAATCAAAACAGCACTTTCTTTAATCCACACCACATTCCTTTCAACATTCTGCTTTGCACAGGAAAGAAAATATAATTTTGCATTTATACATTTGTCTAAGAGTCCTATCTATATACAGTACATGTGAGGATATTCATGATTCTATGAACTACCTGTATCAAAATGGAAGACAACTGATTTTAGAAATGCTCAGGCATGTTCACACAGGTGGGAAACTGTAAATGCAATGTCACAGGTGAGACCCCAAGGAAACTATACATTTACCAAGAAGGTTGTCCACCTATGAGGTACTCTTTATTTGTGCCTGTGTGAACAGGCCCATTATATGCAAATAAAGACCTGACCTGTGGTTCCCAGACATCTTAACAAGGCCTCCAAAATATGTAGATTATTAGAGAAAAAAAAATCCTTGTATCCTGTTGTTGCAACAGGCAGTGGAATATCCCTTAAAGATTAAAACAGGATAGGCTTTGTGTCAACAAAGTGTTCAGTGGACCTTACCTGTTTAATGTGCTGGTGTCTAACAGGGTCGTCCATTCATACTCAGCTGCTGTCATGGGCAATCCATTGGTTTGCCTGAACAAGGGGTTATAACCCATCCCAACAGATGCAGATGGCATGTTTACATGCCATGTCCACATTCCAGCTACAGATTACTACCCCCACTTTAAGACTTTCTTGTATACCCGATGGCAATCTTTTTGGTCAAGACTCCACAACAATAAATTACATACCGTAAAACCATCAATCTCCTCTTGGTCAGCTCCATTTCACAAAAACAGATGTTGGGAGACTGCCCTCGCATGATTACGTATTGGCCACACTCGCCTAACACATGCCTATCTGATGTCACGCTCAGACCCGCCCTATGTCCTCTTTGTAACATCCCTCTTTCAGTCCCACACATTCTCTTGTCCTGTCCACGCTTTAATACAGCACGTACCTCTGCTTTTCCACACCTATCCTCCCTTCACCGACCTCCCAACATATCAAACATCCTTACAGAATCTCACAGCTTCTGCCTCGACAACCTGTTCTCCTTCCTCAGACACACAAATATCCTTCACTTGATCTAACTCCCTTACCTAAACCACCATAATCATTTCCCTCATCTTCAACCTCTCAACACTATTCTAGATAGTTGACACATAACTATCACCTGACATCCCTCTTTACTATACTTTCCTATAGTGCTATATGACCTTGGATGTCTAGCACATTTATCTTAACCATTAACCATTAACCATGCCATGTCCACTGTAATTTTAATTTATCAATTGTGTTTACACAAGGTGGCTCCATAAGTACTTAGTTACAAAGAAGTCAATTACTAGTCCTATCTTTCTCAAGATTTTTGGATATATGAATAATCATATCAATATAAGTATTGATATTAAAAATGAACAAACTCAAAGAAAAGGAAAATCAGGGGCAGTCAGTAAGACCTATTACTTTATTTTTGGCTGGCTGACCATTTGTGGAGCTGTCTTAGGGAAACAGAATTCACAAAATATTACAGTGGACAATACTACCATGGCAATTGGGTCAAGTGGATGTCAGTATGGCAGTGCTTGATCATGTGGACTGGGCCTCAAAAAAAGCTTTTTATCATCTTGTCTGGGAACCCTAGGAGTAAAATTAAATACTAAATAGTTCAGATAGCTACCCATCACCACCAAAGCTGCATATAAATAACCTGAAGACAAAGCAGAAACGGGTGATGATGTTTCAGCTATCCTGCTCTTAGGTTAACTGAACACAACCCTATTTTCTTATTATCATTTTGTTAAGCTGCCTTTAAAATATATAATCATTTTTGAGAAATATGCATGTATTTACACATTACACAGTATTAGCATGAAAATAATTAATGGTGTAATGTGACGACTTGTTTAATTTACAAAAAGATATGTTCATTTGAAAGGAGGAAGAGAACAGTACCACACTAACAATGGCATTTACTTTAAAGGAATTATTTACTTGTATAAACATCCTTTTATTATACATATGCAAATTCTTACAGTACACTAGCAACTGTATAAAAATATAATTGCATATATTTTCTATACAATAGACAATATTAATTTTACAATGTTTGTCATTAGAAAATCCTCATAAAACTCTCACACAAAAGTAATAACAATAAAAAAACAAGAAACAAAATCCATCACTAAAAAAAACCATGCCTCCATTTATTTAAGAAAAGCATAACAAAACAAAACAAAAGGACATAAGCTTCTATCTCATTTAAGAAAGTATATAAATAATTAATGATATCAATAGCACCAATATTTGCATGAGAGAGAGAGAGAGAGAGAGAGAGAGAGAGAGAGAGAGAGAGAGAGAGAGGAGAGAGAGGAGAGAGGGAGAGAGGAGAGGGAGAGGGAGAGGGAGAGGGAGAGGGAGAGGGAGAGGGAGAGGGAGAGGAGAGGGAGAGGGAGAGAGGGAGAGGGAGAGGGAGAGGAGAGGGAGAGGAGGGGAGAGGGAGAGGGAGAGGGAGAGGGAGAGGGAGAGGGAGGGGAGAGGAGAGAAAAAGGGAGGAGAAAGGGAGAGAGGGAAAGAAGAGAGGAAGAGAAGGAGAGGGAAAGAAGAGAGGAAGAGAGAGAAGAGAGGGAAGGAAGAGTGAAAGAGGGCGAGAAAGCTGTATGTCATATCAACTTTTTAAAGCAATGGTGTATTGACTGATTTTGATACTATTATTTGCTAAACACAATGGCTTTATCAACATTTAAAAAAATGGCCATAATAAACTGTTTCTTGCACCGATCCTATTCTGAACTTTAGCACTACTATATTTAATCATCACCAGGCCCTTTTTTCCCAATACATTCACAAAAACAAATTCATACATGTCTTTTCTAGTGTCTTTTTTTCCCTTTGGGAAGACAAGTAAATCAAATAAGAAACAAAAGCTAAACTCACTCCAAGAGTATTATGCACCCTCTAAACAACAGTGATAACGACACACATACCTTCAATACAGAGAAACTTTTCAATTACATTTATACTGTATTTTTACGCATATTTTAGGCCCATGCTATGGCAATGCAATCACTGACTAATCGCCATGTCTTTTACCTGTATAACTTAACATATTACTGAGCAAATGATTACAAAAGATTTGCCTGCTTGTTTAACAAAAAAATAAAAATACCTATGTGTGGGTATATCTGTGCATGTGTAGTGTTTGTGTGTGCGTGTACATGTGCATATCTTGTAAAATCTCAAAAATAAAAAATTGTCATCACCCATTATCACAGTCTGAACCTAATATTACCCATACATAGCGATACTAAGAAAGAGGATGAACAGAGCGCCACAGACAAAGACACTGCATCTATTCTCTACACCACTATGGAGGAGATAAAACCCATCCTCTTGGCTCTTCCCGTGGTGAAGGATAGATGCATCGCATTCACTGCTGAAGTGCCTGCCTCTGTGGCTCTTGCTGTAGCAGGGGCCAGCTTCTCCATTGTCCACAGCCAACTTGCTACCCTCGTATCTTACACCTATTTGTTTGAGCA